GGGCAGGTGCCCAACTGGTGAGAGCGGAATTTTAAACATGAGGTGGGGACTAACGTCACTTGGTACTGACTCACACGAGCATCTTCTTAGATCATGACGGAAAGCCCCCTAGCTGCTTTAGCTGGTTCGGAATCGCCTCCCTTGACTTTCAATCTCCTTGTTTTCTGTACAGCACTAACATGGTTAATTTGCAAGACAAGTGGGACAAAGGACCCACCTTTGTCTTAGGACGATGCACATTCATTTCGCAGAGATGATGAGAAGTTAGGATGATGGAAAAGAGGGTGCAAGTAAGGGGAGAAAGAGAAGAGGACTTGACAAGGGGACGAGCCTAGCCTGATAGCTGGACCAATATAGTGACCAACTCGAAGTGGTAGCAAGACGGGCACAATAACTTAGACCTGTGCGTCGGCAACACTACTCGAAACCAAGGTCGATATGACTGTCCTAAGCTGGTGTGGCAGCAAGATGGGCATGGTACTCTTGACTAGCACGACGGCAATACTGCTCGATAGTCAGACCGTTATGACAGTACTAGATTGAGTATAGCCTTCAGTCAAGCAACAAGAGAAGAAAAGAAAAGAAAAGACAACGAAGAGAAGACACGAGATGGTGAAGGAAACAGGTCCCTTGGCGTTAAGCATCGCCGTCCACAGCCATGGAGTAACAGTCTTGTTGCCCCTGAACGGCGCTAGACACTACTACTCGAGGTGAAAGGGCTAGTAGTGAACTGTAAATGGCTATAGCTATCGCCATCGGCAACACAAGAAGGCAGCATGACCCTTCACAGGCGACGATGGGTATTGTCGTCTGCAACAGGCACAGAGTGCACAAAGAAGCTTGCTGATGGCAAAAGGCATCGCCGCGACCCTTCGTGAGCGATGATAGCCATCGTTGTCTACAAGAGACGCGAAGCACGGGTGAGTCCCCTGCGGGCGGCGATAGGCATCGCCGTCTACATGTGTCGCGAAGCACGGGTGAGACCCCCATGAGCAGCAATAGGCATCACCATCTGCAAGGGACACAAGGCAGGACGAGTCCCCCATGTGCGGCAATAAGCATGGCCACGACCCCTTCACGGGCAGCAATAAGTATCACTGTTTACGATAGGCGCGAGGCAAGGCGAGACCCACATGGGCGGCGATAGGTTTCACGTCTGCGACCCGTGAGGGGAAAGAGAAATAGTCTGCGATCGGCGATACACATCGCCGCATAAGACGCCAGTCCTGGAACCGAAACAGGAGTCTGACCCATTGCTTGAACGCAGCTCGACTCGCCGTGTGCTCCTTCAGACGGTGTTTCGTACAACGACGACTAACACCATGCGCGAACCATGTCGAGGAAAAGAGACGAACAAAGAGAGAGAGGAAGAAGCTCGCGCATAGCGCTGCCATCGCCACGCACGACCTGCAAAACCTGCAGGAGAGAGAAGGAAGAAAGAGGCATGCATGGCACTGCCACTACCACTACTATGCATGGCCACTAAGAAAGGATCAGACAAGGAAGAGGAAAAGAAAGAGAAAATCCAAGAGAAAAAGGAAGGGATGAGAGAGAAAATACCTTGAGAGTAGGAGGGGTACCGCTCTAAACTTTCTCTCTCCTCTCTCTCTCTCCAAGACTCACCCACGAATTCAAGGAAGAATCTCAAATTTTATTGCTCAAAGTAGAGAATGAAAGTGGATCGTTACAATAAGTTTTCAGCCTCTTCTCAATGAGAGGTAACGTCTTTTTATAGACTAGGGCTAAAATGTGGGTGGATCACCCAAAACTAACCCTAATTAAAGATAATTAATGTTTATTTGAATTAAAAGAAATAAAAAAATGGGATAAAAAATGACTGATTTGCCACTGCCTAACAATTGAGACAATTCCAAAACAGTCCCTGCTGAGAACTAGAGACGTTCTTGATTCTTCTCGGACGATCAAGCATTCGAATGAACAAAAGATGATTGCCATTGTGTGGGGCTCGATGCTACGATAATTTTATATCGATTTTAAGCCATGAATCACACTTTAAAGGCCTGATCACATAACTTGAAATTTGAATAGGTCTTGAAAATATTTGATTGATAGTGCATCTTCATATCGATGTTTTACTGTAATTTCATCATTGAATTGCACTGAGCATATTACCACGATCGGGTTGCAACAGAGGGGATGTGATTTGGTACCCGGACAAACATTTCGCATCGTTTGGGTTTCGGCAGGAATCTGAATTCCTGCAGCTAGAATTTACAGTCATTTTATTGACTTTGTGTGTGAAATCCGACCGTTTACAGGGTTCGGACCAGAGATAACTCTAAACCTTACGCACACGATGGAACGGTCTTATGTTAATCCGATGCGTGAGCACCATGATTTGGCCACTCAAGTGGGTGGATCTCTTGCTGATTTTCTGCAACACACAGCTTTAAATAGCAAACTTCTCTCTAGCTTTTCTCCCGGCTCGGTCATCGTCCCAAGACGTACCACATATCAAAATGCTCGTTTCGACGAGACAAACACGTTCCAACAAGTTTGAACGCGATCCGATCTCAAACGAGTGAGATACGAGCATCACAAGTCATCGTTCGGGACTGTCCCTTTAATGGAGATTAGTTGCAAGGTAGCCATACGGGAATAGTGTGTGGCTCCTCCCATAACTTCTTCCTGGGGTGTATATTTAAGCTAAAATTTTACCCGTGGGGGTTTTTTACCGTGCTGGATCCAATGGCAATGTTTTCACGGCCGTTTGATGCTCCGAAAGTAGGGTTCCAGTTATAGGGGTCCATTTCAGGGTGCTAGAGGCTAATTCTACTGAAACTGTTTCTTTGTCTGCAATGCCTTAGACATGTCAAAATGTGACGAAAATTGGCAGGTGACTTTTTGAGGTCCTTAGGAAGATCTTGACCTGTTCTGAGGCCATTCTGAGACTGTCAAAATTTCTACTGTTTGTCAGACTTTATTGACCGGCTTCTCCCTTTTATTTTGCAAACAAATTATACAAAGAATAACAGCATTAGTCTTGACAGTCATAACTTCCCCATTTTTCTCTCTAATGCAAAAGCTTGAACAAGGAAGGTCTATCCATTGTCAAGCTCTGAAATAGGGTTGAGCTTGGATATATTCATTAAACACCCGGGATTTATTTAACAACTAGTCTGGTTTCTACTTACAAAGCACTTGAAGAAATGGTACAAAGATATGATCTTGCTCCCTTTAAAAAAGAGGCATACAGTCTTGTTTACTTGTTAAGTTAGAATCGGAGAGACGCAATTAGGTAAGGTGGGGCATGAGGTCATGTTTGATTCTACGCTCCATAGTGGTTCTAGATCAAAATATTGATGTTTTAGTAATCAGCTTTTGCACAATTTGGTATAACCTGAGCAGGGTAAGATGATCCACCATTATGTCAATAGGAGCGAGTGGTGTAGTTTTACTGGTTTGGAAGCTTCGAGAGATAATTTGATGCACAGAAGATGGAGAGAGGATGGAAAAGACATAATTAAATCAAAATAATAACGATAATTAAATAGTAACCAAAATAAATAAATTAAATAATTAAATAACCAAAAGAAATAAATAAATAAAATATCCTAAAATAAATACTCTCTTCCCCATGTTTTTCCTCTCTCTTAATCTTTACGGAAATATCTCCTTTATTTTATGTTTAAAAGCAAGTCTAACATATTCTAACCCATCCATCTGCGTTAATTTTTAGAATGATAATAAAAATAAGTTTCTAGTTCTATTTCTCAAATCTCTACCGCTAAAAAGACAAAACTAACCCTGTAAGAGTATTAGAAACCCATAATACCTAACATCTAAATTTCAGTCTTACAAAAAACTAAAAAACAAAAAAAAAAATATAAAAATCTTGTTTGCATCATGTTTAATGGGCTTTAAGTTTTATTTCATTTTATGTAGATTTTGGCAGAAAGTATCTATCTTCAATAGTGAAAGAAATGGTACAAGCTTGGTGCAGTAAAAAAAAAAGGATTTTTTGTGGGATACGGTTTCTATACGGCCAGCCTGCATATTGTAGAAATGCGGGCTTGGCAATAAATATATTTTTTAAATATAATTTGATCTTAAGTTTTAAACAAGATATAACCTTTAACATGGAAATCAGAAAAAATAAAATTAAAATTAAACACTAAAAATAATAATTATAGTAAGAAAAGATTTGGACCGTTAGT